GAAAGTGAGAGAAAGAACGCGAGAAAGAGAAATGCGCAAGCGTGCTTGAATGTTCACCGCATGCGCACAAAGCAGCCGGAGAGAGAGGCTACTATATTGTCTGCACCGTAACATTGAGCTTCAGGTCGGCACCGTACTAGCCAGGGTTGGGTAGAATTGACTAATCGTATTGATCAAATCAGCCAATTGACCAGCGTGATTGGTCAATTCTACGAAATCTATACCTTGCGTTTGCGCTTGCGATCAATGTAGAACGGGCTTTTAAGAGGGTACTGGATATCGACTATAGAAACCTGTAAATCGACATTTTAGAAACCTAAATTTCTCTAATTTTCAATTTTGTGTACTGCATCACATGAAAAATGTTTCTACAGAAGCAAATAAATATAAAAAACTACATAGTGCTCTTGACAATGGGTATAAAATGCTTTTTTTTTCATTCACATAAATAGCATATGATAACCTATCTGCCATCACGAGAATCGCTTTTTCTCGTCAACTACACATTCCAATCATAATCGAAATGTCTTACAGCCAAGTTTTTCACTTCTAGATAAGTTTTCGATAACTTTATCTAGAAGATATCTCCCAAAATTGGTTCTCCTTGTTGGTTCTCAAAGGAATTTATCCAGAGGATAGCTATCGAAAGGTATGAAGAAATCGGTCGTGATTCTTTTTAACTTCTCATCTATGCCTACCCAGCAAACAAAATGATGGCAACGTGCAGGCATTATGCTTTCCATGGCGTGCTGTCTCTGTGACTGCCAGATACAGGTCCATCTGGGAGTTCCAACGTAACCGTCGTCACGGAAGTATCGTTTCTCGGTCTTCTTCAATCGACAACATAATTTTTAGATTTTAAGCAAAGCATAGCGTATGTTTTGCTATAGTAGTCTTTGTATCTACGTTCTGACATAGACTGGCGCTTTTGCCATAATGTTCTTTATATATTCTTTTGACTTAGACTGGCGTATGGACTAGTTAGTTTCGGTCCGAAGAGCCATACTTGCACCAAACCAAACCAGGTCCATCTGGCAAGAATCGCGACGACACGTTATGCTCAACACTCTATGCGAGCTTTGTGTAAGCAGAATGCACTTCAGAATGCCGGCATCATGCAAACACACAAGTCTTGATCAGTACTAAATTTTGCTTTTAGATTAGGTTAGATTAGGTTAGAATTTTTCAGTTAAAATATAAATAAAACAATTTTAAAAATATTTCTTTATTTAAGTCCCTTGCACAATGGAAGGAATAGCGATAGCGATAGAAATAACACAGTTTTTAACACAATTTCAACTCGCGTCGGAAATTTTATCGCTATTACTTATTCCGATTTTCTGATCTGCATTGATACATGTGTATTTTTGTATGTTATATTCCGCTGTTCCTACCTTTATTTTTAAATATAAACTCTTTAAAACTTTTGTTATTTCTATCGCTATTGCTATTCCGTCTATTGTGCAAGAGGCTTTAGGACCTAGCAAACATCACGTGTCAGCACGCCGTGAAAGCATGCCATGTGAACAGAGATGCCAGATCGCGCCGGACAGCATCGAGAGTATCGAAGCGGGGTATCCCCACCGCCTCGATGCTGTCGTACGCATACAAGCGAGAGGCTGTGTTCAGTTAAGCAAGATGGAACGAACTAATGCAGGAAATGAAGGAAATACAGGAATTGGAACTAATGAAACTAATGAAACTAATGAAAGAAGTGAAGATAGTGAAAAAAAAGAAGGTTGGCT